CCTCCCCCCCCCCCCCCCCAGCCACTGGCTGGGCAGGCTGCTTGGCGGGGTTGCAGAGCAAACTGCTCCTCCTGCCTCTGTGTCACCAGCCCTTCAGATTCAGCACAGCTGTGTGAACAAAAAGAAAGAATCCATCCCTGGCATGGGGCTGTGGCACTGCTGGGACCTGCTGGCACAGCCAGGCTGAGACTGGGGCTGCAGGTGTTGGGTCCTTGTGGAACAGGAGCCAGGTCAGCCCCACGGGGCTCTTGTCCTGCCATATCCTGACCACTTAACCTTTGCCTGACAGCCCTTCAGATTCAGCACAGCTGTGTGAACAAAAAGAAAGAATCCATCCCTGGCATGGGGCTGTGGCACTGCTGGGACCTGCTGGCACAGCCAGGCTGAGACTGGGGCTGCAGGTGTTGGGTCCTTGTGGAACAGGAGCCAGGTCAGCCCCACGGGGCTCTTGTCCTGCCATATCCTGACCACTTAACCTTTGCCTGACACCACCTGGAAGGGTCTGTTTGGATGAATAACCATCCAGTTCCCTGTCAATAAACACCACAAGGTGTGAGATGAACATTTCCCAGTGTTTCAGTATCTGTTTTCCTCTCATTGAACTGCTGGGTCTGCACTTCTTTTCACAGTCCAGCTTTCAGCTGAATTACAAAGAAGTTTTGCTGTCTCCAGTCCTCCCCCCCCCCTTTGTTTCCCATGTTCCCTTTGTTTGAAATGCAGATAACTAAAAAGGGATCTCTTCTTTCTGTTGCAGAATTTTCTCGTTCCTGGATGTGGTTACTCTGTGTCGTTGTGCTCAAGTTTCCAGGGTAAGAACCTTCCTCCTTGCTGGGGGATGTTGGCACTTGGTGGGATCTGGGTGGCAGCTCCAGCCTTCCCTGGCGTGTCAAACAGGAGGATTTGTGCCAGGGAGCTTTGTGCAACTCAACTATTGTTATTTAGTGTCCTGTGTTCATGCCACAGCACCAGAAGCTTCTGATGGCACTAGCAAAGAGGGACTGGGAGCTTGAATCCTGCTTAGCTGGTGTCCTGGGCCCAGAGCACGTTACAAAGGGGGTTCCTAACTTTTTGCCCAAGAACTCTCCAGTCGGGCTGGGGTTGTACAAGAGGCCTCTGCTGGTGAAAATACCAACTGTGGATGAACCTAAAATGGCTTTCTGTGGGTTGTGGTGGAGATACAGAAATGTTGATTCAAAGAGGTACTGTGCAGCAGATGAAGGTTCACTTCCCTGCTCAGATATTGTTGAAGCAAACATGTGAGGAAAAAAAGGAGTGTCTTGGTTTGTTTGGGGTTGTTGTTTTCCTGAAGTAGCTCATAGTTTTGTGGGCTCCAGGTAATGAAATCCAGCTGGGATTATTTGCTTGGGAAAATTCCTCCAAGTACAGGTCCATCTATCTACACCTACCAGATTTGTTCAGATACTTGATCCTGCCAGTGTCTGCTCAGATGCCAGTGTTTACCCAGAGCTAGAGAAAGGCTGGCTCTGGTGTTCCCTGCACCACACACTGACATGCTGGGCTGTCACTGGTACCCACCAGTGCAGTTCCTTGCCACTGGAGCTACTGCTTTTCTCATGGCAAGAACTAGACCTTCAAACAAATATCAGATTTAAAATGCAGAAGATTAATTAATGCTTTCTGCTGACTGTCATAAGCCTGTACGTGGCTTGCACAAGAGCCAGTAGGTTGTGCTGGAGTTGTAGGTTAGTGCCTGTAATAGCTGTGGTGTAAAAACACACCCGAGTTTGTGTGCTCCCTCCTAACGACAGGCTCGTGGTTATTAGGTTTGGTTGTTTACTTTGATTATGTGATTACAGCTTCAAGTCTAGTTCTGTACTGACAACCTTTTTGATTCATTAAGGGCAGAATTACTAACTTTCAGTTCCTGGTTCTCATTTGTAGCATGAACCACATGAGATTTTTGTTGTTTCAAAAGCCCCAAACCAACCCCTGGAGGCAGCGGCCCCTGCCACTCTGGCCATGGTGCTCAGCCACGAGCTGGACCCTGTATCTGGGCAGCTTCCAAAGGACACAGCACCCCATGCACCCAGCTGAGGAGCTGCCTGGGCCCCCTCTTGCTGCTGCAGGCACAGAGGGGGTGTGCAGGATGGCAGCCTCTGCTCTGGGATCTGACCACAGCCGGAATCCTCTGGCCCACCACCGGGGAGTCCTCTGCACCCTCAGACCAGTGTCACCAGTACAGATGCCTGGTGCTGGGTCTCCTCTGGGACCCACCCGTGTCCTGGCATCCTCCATCTTGACGTTGGCCCTGCTAGCATCCTCTGGAGATGTTGGTTTAGCCACAGAGGGGCTTAGATTCCAGCCAGGACTGAAGATGCTCCAGCGCTGTCCCACGCTCCAGCTCCGCTCCCGGGTTCAGCACCCGCAGCTCCGGTGGGCACAGAAGTGGGGTCACCACCTGCCCCTCAGGGGACTTGGAAGAGCTGGGCAAGGGGCCACCCCAGCAAGTGACTCTGGTAACTGCACGGTTCTCCTCCTTGGCTGTTGTTGCTTGTTGCTTTTACACCTGAGGCAGGATGTTGTTTCTGAAGGGAACAAACTGTAACTCGGTCCCCACTGGTGGGTTTTTTTCATATTAACAACACGTTTACATTTTTTCCCCCTGATAAAGGCTTGGAATGTTCTGGCCCTGGATGGCAGTAACTGGCAGCGAATTGACCTGTTTGATTTCCAGAGGGATATTGAGGTATAATTAAGTGACATACAAACCCATTTTTCTTGTTAAAATGTAATTACAGCCTAGAATGGATTAATACTCCCAGAGGAACCCCTTTCTACCTTCCCTGGAGATAGAAATCATTAATTTCAGTTCTTCTTAGCTTTGGGGAGTCTTCAAAGTCTGGCAATCCATTCAGCTTTTGAAAATGGACAGAATTGTGTACCTGTATCAAGACTTACAGGCAGTAATAGAAGGGAACTATTTCTCTGTGTGTTCTGAGAACAGGAATAAATAGAATAAGTAAATTCTGTATAGCAGAATTTGGGCTGCTTTCCTTTCACTCAAAGAAATGTTGCCACAGACCAGTAAGACTGAGTGTCTTTTGAAACAAGGCCTGGAATATTGTCTGTCCTTTCCTGTCTATAATATAAAAAATTGAAATGTAAGGATTATGCACCCAGCTGAGGAGCTGCCTGGGCCCCCTCTTGCTGCTGCAGGCACAGAGGGGGTGTGCAGGATGGCAGCCTCTGCTCTGGGATCTGACCACAGCCGGAATCCTCTGGCCCACCACCGGGGAGTCCTCTGCACCCTCAGACCAGTGTCACCAGTACAGATGCCTGGTGCTGGGTCTCCTCTGGGACCCACCCGTGTCCTGGCATCCTCCATCTTGACGTTGGCCCTGCTAGCATCCTCTGGAGATGTTGGTTTAGCCACAGAGGGGCTTAGATTCCAGCCAGGACTGAAGATGCTCCAGCGCTGTCCCACGCTCCAGCTCCGCTCCCGGGTTCAGCACCCGCAGCTCCGGTGGGCACAGAAGTGGGGTCACCACCTGCCCCTCAGGGGACTTGGAAGAGCTGGGCAAGGGGCCACCCCAGCAAGTGACTCTGGTAACTGCACGGTTCTCCTCCTTGGCTGTTGTTGCTTGTTGCTTTTACACCTGAGGCAGGATGTTGTTTCTGAAGGGAACAAACTGTAACTCGGTCCCCACTGGTGGGTTTTTTTCATATTAACAACACGTTTACATTTTTTCCCCCTGATAAAGGCTTGGAATGTTCTGGCCCTGGATGGCAGTAACTGGCAGCGAATTGACCTGTTTGATTTCCAGAGGGATATTGAGGTATAATTAAGTGACATACAAACCCATTTTTCTTGTTAAAATGTAATTACAGCCTAGAATGGATTAATACTCCCAGAGGAACCCCTTTCTACCTTCCCTGGAGATAGAAATCATTAATTTCAGTTCTTCTTAGCTTTGGGGAGTCTTCAAAGTCTGGCAATCCATTCAGCTTTTGAAAATGGACAGAATTGTGTACCTGTATCAAGACTTACAGGCAGTAATAGAAGGGAACTATTTCTCTGTGTGTTCTGAGAACAGGAATAAATAGAATAAGTAAATTCTGTATAGCAGAATTTGGGCTGCTTTCCTTTCACTCAAAGAAATGTTGCCACAGACCAGTAAGACTGAGTGTCTTTTGAAACAAGGCCTGGAATATTGTCTGTCCTTTCCTGTCTATAATATAAAAAATTGAAATGTAAGGATTATTGACAGGGCCAAGGTCAAACTTGTTCCTAAAAGATGCAGCTTTGGAAGTGCTTCCTTGTAGCTGTTCTAAAGATGTTGGATGTGGACTCCTTGACACTGAGAGGAGTGGATGCTGTTGTCATGCAGCTCTTAAAAAGAAAATTGCTTCCATCAGGATAAGAGACCGAATAACCCCACTCCTTAAGTTTCTCACCAGAATGTTACATCCTCTTTAAAACGTATTGGAGGAGGGAGAATAGGGAGTGTGTCATTTTAACTTGTTCTAGACAGAGGCATAAGCCAGAAGAATCACACCTTGTGGGATATAAACACCTGATTTGTGGAGGAAAGAGCCAAAATAATCACTCTCTGAGAGACTCATGGATGGAGGGACCTGCTGTGTGCAGGGGGGCAAGTGGCCTGAGACTGAGGGAAGTAAACAGTGTGGTTTTGGTGCTTGGTAGTAAGTTCTTTTATCTCTTAGCTTGCCCTGAAAGTTCTGGACCCATATAATTAATAACTTTGCTAGAGTGAAGTTACTGGTGGTGCTGGGTCCAGCAGGAAGCGTGGAGGGAGCTTCCCAGTTGGGCTGAGCAGGAGGGATGGAGGCAGGGGTGCTGTGAATGCAAACTAGGCTTTTCTCATTCTTGAGGGGTTTTTGCATGGTTTTAATGTCTCTTTGTTCTCTAACACCACTCTATAGATCAAACACATGTTCTGGCATAAGCACAGACTTCCCCTTTTGAAACAAAATGCTTGGATCTGTTGTACCTCACCTGCAAATACCTGCTAGACTTCCTGATGTCCTACATGTTGTTTGCTTTAAAGGAATGGAAATCCATCAGTTGATGTAAATTCCATACATTATACAAATGTGTTTGAATCCTCTAACTGAAGCCTATGAATTCCCAGGAGTTGCCAAAACATGTGGAGTGTTTCAGCTGCTCCAACCCCCCTGCAGGGATGTGCAGGCTCAGTCCAGTCCAGCTGCTCCCAGAGCCCCCACAGCAACTGGTCCCAGAGGCTCCTGCAGGGAGCTAATTAGGCTGGGGTCCCTTTTTGCTTGTGGTTTTACTTTGTACCAAGCTTGGTATTTTTTTGGACTGGAAAAAGTTTATAGAAGAATATCTTCATCTTTGTAGGGCTCTTAAATGCCAACTGGTAGGTGAAGAGCTGAGTGAAGCTCCTGTTCTGTGATGAACAGGGACTTGGCTGAAGTGGAGGGGAAGGTTTGGAATTTCTGGACACTGATACAAATGTTCTCTCAGGAGTTTTTGCACTTGGTTCACAGGGAGAAGTAGCTTGCAGTGGGGTCTTTGGAGATTGCAAATTTGAAATTTAAAAAGCCTTTATTCTAGATTTCTTGAATACAAATGTTTAAATTCCTTTTTCTGTGAAAATAAAATTTGTGGGCTGGTTCTGCCTCAGCTCTGTTTTGAGTAGAAATTGAAGTAAATCCATTTATAGTGCATTGACTGTACTGATTTGTGAACCCCCTGCCCCTGCTGAGCCATGGCATTGCTGCTTTCATCCCTTGGGTGTTCTGCATCCATGTCCAGGAGTTCTGAACTGGAGGAAATGCCTCACTCATTAGCCTGAGCAGCTTTAGCTAATTATTCCTTCTCTCTCCATCTTCAGAAGCTGAATAATTCTGTTTCTCCCTGCCAGAGACGATGATAGTGACATTTTTGTTTTCTTAGCACTGCTTTACCTAGAGTAACAAACTGTTAAATGTGTAATTCAGTTCTTTGAATGCTCAGGTGACTTGTGGATTTTAATATTGTTCTTCCTGTCTCCCCCAGGGCCGGGTAGTTGAGAACATTTCCAAGAGATGTGGGGGTTTCCTGCGGAAGTTAAGCCTGCGGGGCTGCCTGGGAGTGGGAGACAATGCATTAAGGTAGAGGTGCAGCTCCTCTCTCTCCTGCACTGGGAAATAAAGAATGAGGCAGTTTCTGCCACCACGGAGGGCTGGGATAATTCATGAACACTTTGGAACTGAGATGTTTGGCCTGTGTGACTAACTTAAAACATCAGGAGCAGTGACACAGAAGCCTTTTTAATTTCTCATTTTTCAGCTTCACACAGTAGCCATTTTGCTCAATTCTCATTAAAATAATACCAGCTGCTGCTGCAGGCTCAGGAGTGGTGGGGGCTGAATTACAGGCTCCTGCCTTTAGGCTGGGAAATGCCAAGGCAAGAGACAGGGCAACATACATGGTTTTATTTACTTCTTAATTTTGTTTGAGACAGTTTTGTAAAGTAGTATCTGATGAGACAGTTAACATAAATGCTGCCAAACACCTGGAAATCTCTCTCCTGAGAAATACAGAGTTTTCTCTCTTATTTCATCAAGGACATTTGCACAGAACTGCAGAAACATTGAAGTGTTGAACCTAAATGGCTGCACCAAGATCACAGATACGTGAGTAACATTCCTATCTCCTCTCTAAACCCCTTTTCTGTGTCCCTGTGTTAGATCCTCCATCTCCTCTTTAAGGCAGGGCCAGGCTGGTGTGTGCAGAAGGTAATATATGTCCTAGGGAAAGGGAATGACTTTGAATATATCTCTTGCATGGGTGTCTCCTGTGCTCTCTTTCAGCACATGTACCAGCCTCAGCAAGTCCTGCTCTAAACTCAGGCATCTTGATTTGGCCTCCTGCACTTCCATAACCAACCTGTCCCTGAAAGCACTCAGGTAGGAGTCAACAACATGGACTTTGGCTGGTTGGTTCCAGATAACATCCCCCCCCCATGTGCTCGTGGTGTGCAGGCAGAGGAGCAGGACTCTTTAAGAGCTGCCCTCGAGCTTGTATCTGTCCCTCCTGGTGGTTTTTAGCAGTAAAAGAAGAATTATATTCTGTTGAAGTCTTGGAGGAGGGATTTTTGGGGAGACAGGAGCCTTAGGCTGCATTTTTACAGTGCTCATTTACCATCAACTTCTCCCTTGTAAGTGTGTGTAGCTGGTGTTTGCAGAGCTGGAAGGTGAACACCAGCATGTGACTGTTTTGTCTTTTTAAACTGCTTAGGAGACATAGAACTGCTTAAATCTGCTCATGGGAATTGTTTTTTCCTTTCCCCTCCAAAGTGAGGGATGCCCACTGCTGGAGCAGCTGAACATCTCCTGGTGTGACCAAGTGACCAAGGATGGCATCCAGGCCCTGGTGCGAGGCTGTGGGGGACTCAAGGCCCTGTTCCTGAAGGGCTGCACACAGGTACAGCTCCAGGGAGCAGGCCCAGCTGGCTGCTTCCTGCCCTAACTGGAACTCTGGGGATGAAAGATGGTGGGTTTTTCCATTTCTAAAAACATTACTTTCCTGCAATCACTCACAGTCTGCCTTGCTGGGGATTAACTGCCTTTCCTGAAATTCTTCAATCGCTTTCAGCTCAGCACAAGTGGTGAGACAGTGAACAAATTGCAGTTCCAGCTCTAGAATCATTCTTCTTCTTTCTTTTCCCCATCACATTGAGCAAACTTTTCCTGGAGAGGAGGTATCTGTGTCAGCCCTGGCTGGACCCACGGGCTCAGCACATGCCAGGGGGCACAACAAGGCTTTCCCAGCTTGGCAGGATCTCCTCCTTGTGTGGTTTGGATCTTCTGGTTAGAGAACCACTGTGTGTGACTCCTTGAGGAGCCACCTCTGCAGCTGGACAGGGGCACAGCCCGTGTCCCTCAAGTGTGTCATGTCACTTTTGAGCCACAACAGTGTATTTTGCAGAGGCTGCAGGGGCTGCCATGCCTGGACTTGGGAATGCAGCAGTGGTGCCTTCACTCTGGCAGCTGAAAGGGCCTTTTTTTCCCCCCTCGTTACACTTCTTGTTACTCAGACCAACTCCCATTCATCTTCACTGTCTTACCTGGCCAAGCATTGAAAAGTTGAATGTGTTAAACACTTCCCTGTGCTGCAGCTTTGTGAGGAGCTCCAGCAGTTGTGGGCTGGGGTGTGGGGAATGTCAGCCTTGAGCACTGCTCCCTGCAAAGCTGCTTCACAAAGAATGTGGGGACAAATTCTGATTTATTTTGTTTTTAACTGAAGTGGGCTGGGCTCTTTTTAATGCAGCCAGAGGGGCTGGAAAGGAGCAAATGTATCTCAGAGTCTTGTCCCTGAAAAAAGGAGAGTAAAACTGACCTTGCAGGAGCTGGAACCTGTGAGCCAGAGACTCCTGAGAGCTTGAGAGCCTCAAGGTAGGCCTGGGAAATGACCTCAGATCCATTAGCAACTTGTACCCCAACATGGGCAGCACGGATTTGCTTTGGATTTGTTTTTTTTCTTAGGGGCAGAGATGCCTTAAGTATGAGTCAGTAAGAGCCATTTTTATCAGCCATATATAGATAAACAGCTTTTTTTTTTTGCTTTTTTTTTTTAAAAATTTTATTCTGCAAAAAGCATGTTTCTCCTGGGCACAGACACAGAAAGCTCTGAAAGGTTATTGTGGCAAAGCAGCAAAGCACAGTTCTGTGCACACAGCCCCTGTGCCACCCCTGAAGGCCCAGCTGTGGGGGCTCCACTCAGTTGTTTCTCTAAATTTATCCTCCTGTTGGATTTTGAGTACGTGAGATGGGTCTGCATGGCTGCAAAAATGACTTGATTAAAGATACAACTATCTCAGCCTATTTTGAGAATTCAGGTCATAGAAACAGCTTGAGTTTCTAGTAATTTATGGAGTCATGAGCTGTATTGATGGCAATACATCCTTGTTATCAATTACCTACCATCTGTTCTTAGAGATTTAAGAATAGCAGGCTTTTTATCATCAGAAAGCAACCTGGATGTGTTTGTGCTCCTCACATTGAAACAAGATCTCTTTTTTTCTTTTTTTTTGAGTTCCAGTATTGCACTACAAAAATAGTGTTATTTATAGGCCCTTACTAGTGAGGCATTTCCTTAATTCCTGTAAGTAGTTGCAGATTTCACTACTTGCTCTGTTAATGATGCATGTTTGACCAGATCAACTTCTCCTTAAATCAGTAACTTGGTGTTGTGGGTCTTTGAACTCTGCTCCTGAGGTGGTAAAAGCCCAAAATAAAAGGCTTGCCCTCCCTGCTGAGGCTACAGTGCATTACCCTCCTCCCCAGTAGGTCTCCAAAACCACAGATGCTTTGCTGTTCCTCAAAACTTTATTTTGAAGGTTGCTTCAAGTGTTACCCAGGTTATTTCACTCTCTGAATTTGTCTTTCCAGCTTGAGGATGAAGCTCTGAAATACATTGGTGCACATTGTCCTGAACTGGTGACTTTAAACCTTCAAACGTGCTTAGTAAGTAAAACTTTCTCTGCTTTTCCAGCTCAGCCATCCTTGGGCAGCTAGAGGCATCTCCAGGCAGGGCCCTGCAGGATGTGTCCCCTCAGCAGGCAGGGCAGCTCAGCTTTTACCAGGCTTTTAAAAATAGTTGATGGAAAACAGCTTCTTTGGTAGCATTCAGTAGTGCTGAATAAGCCCCCAAAACAGAGTCATAGGATTCCCTTGTTCAGGGTTGTTTGTCTCCCTGCCCTGCCCACGGGGCTTCTCAACTCATTTCCAGGACAGGCTGGAAAATTCTCTCCATGGGGCCAGAGTATTCGTGTGGTGCTGGAGGCTCCTCTGGCCTCCCTGTGAAACTGAACCCACTGCAGTTTCCCTGCACAGAAGGGCTCGAAACCAGTTATCCTGCAGTGCCAAAAATGTGTATTTATGCCAAGAAATAAACTGGAATGGGCTCTTTGCACATGCAGCCAGGCTCTCACAGGGGGGAGCCCAACAGTCTCTTCCTTTTCCAGGAGTGACTGAGGCTGCAGGGCTGCCCCTTCCCTGTCCTGTGTGAGGAGCAGCTTTTCCAGTTACTAGATTAGCTAGAGACTGGTGCCTGTCTGTCCAAAACTGGGAAAAGCTGGACTGCTGGCAGGTTGCAGACCTGTGTCTGGTTCCTGGGGGAGAGGCAGGATGGGGAGAGGCCAACAGAAGGAAGGGAGAAGAAAACTAATGAGGTTCTTGATCACCTTAACTGAAAATACCAAGTTGTCTTTGGTTTCTGTCCCACCTCCCCCCAGCCCTCACCAGCCCCAGACTGGCTGTTTGCTGTGTAGGTTGGTGCTGCCCAGTGGGATTGGAGTCTGGCTGCTCCTGAACATCCAGACCTAAGAAATTGCTGCTCACCAGGGGGTGAATGTAACAGGTTTTGTGCTGCAAGCCTGTCTCACACAGTTCAGGTTTTGGTCCCAAACCACCAAAGTGTATGTTTGAAAAGGCTGTTTGTGAAAACAACCTGCTGCTTCTTTGTGGGTAACTCCATTAGGTGCTTCCTTGTCCTGACCTTCAGCCAAGGGCTTCCAAAGCCAGGGCTGCAAGGGAGGCAGGAGGCCAGCCCTGGGCCTGTAGGGCTGCTCTGCCTCACAGCTCACATGGCCCCAGCCCAGAAACATCTCCCTGCATGTGGAACCACTTTCTGACTGTTTACAAGTCACTTTGACGTGGCTTATCCTGGTTCAGCTGCTCCAGTGAAATATTTGACTGCGTTTTTGGGCTGAAAGCAGCATAACTTGGCCCCAGGGAAGTGCCTGGGTGAAAGTCTGAGCAGGGAAGTCTGCAGTGCCTTGCACCTCCACCTGCCTCCTTATGGCTTATGATGTTGTTATTGTTTTTCTTGTAGCAAATAACAGATGATGGTCTCATTACAATATGCAGAGGATGCCACAAGTTACAATCCTTGTGTGCTTCAGGCTGCTCTAACATTACAGATGCCATCCTGAACGCCCTGGGACAGAACTGCCCCAGGCTCAGGTAAGTTCTCACTGCAGCTTCCCCAGCTCCAGTGACCCATTGCATGTTGAGCAAAGGCTCGTGGTGACAGGGTCATGTAGTATTTGAGCTGGTTTAGGCTCTGAAGGTCTTTCTGACACCACATCTCTTCATCATGGAACTTTTTCCAGGCATTTGCTGGGAGGTGATTGGAGTTTTACCCAAAACTCTGGTTTCTAAACTCGTGTGAGCAAAACAGTGGTGAAGAGCTCCATGCTGTGGTGCTGTGTGCTGCCAGTGCTGCCCAGTAGCTCTCTCCTTTTGCACCATTGTCTATCTGCTTTTGTTCTTCATGACACAACCAGTGGAGGTCAGGTTACCTTTGTGCTGAGAACTGAAAATGCTTTTAAACAACATTGTTTCCCTTGAGGTGTGATCCTAACAGGATTTTCATGATGGTTGTGTAGCAGAAGGAATTTGTGTTAATGTTTACTCTGCTGGGCAGCATGGGCTGCCAGCAACAGCTCTGCAGGTGCTTGCTTCTTTTTATTTCTTCTTTTTTAAGACTCTTTTTTATTAGGACAGGTTTCTCCAGGGAGACTTGGCTGTAATTCAGAAAATGGCCAGGTGCTGGAGGAAGAGACAGTTTTATTATTTGACATCTGTAACAGCTGAGTGGCCTGTTTTAAATGGCATAAAATACCTGTCTTCCAGGGGGGAAAAGAAAACAAAACTGTTGTCTCAGCTGAGCTCATTTAAAGAATTCTGGGCACAAAGTGCAGCATAAGAGTGTATGGAAACCAGTTTTGAAAGGGGAAGGTAAAACATGGCTTTGGTTCCAAATGGTTTGTGTTTATCTGCAGCTGCAGCTGGACACTATTAAGCTCTGTACAGTAAAATTCATCATGCACTGTAGGCAGGTTGGGTTTCTTTTCTAGAAAGGTGGATAAATATGTTGATGTTGTGGAGCAAAGCTCTGTGGAGCTGCAGCAGCTGCCAGAAGGTTTAGCTGTTGTCACAGAACTAGCAGTTTGCCTCTTGGAAGACTTACAGACTCTTCTCTCATGGCATTAAAGATTTATTTTCTCATGGCCATCTGCAGTTGTGTGTTACACCCTTTTCCACCTTGGGATCTGAGTTTTGGGTAAAAACTAGAGGAGATGACCTGGGCAGGTTGTGGAGTGTCCAGCACTGAAGGCTTTTAAGAGCCCCTTGGTCCAACACTTCAGGGGTTGGACCTGGATCACCCTCGGAGTTCCCTTGTAGCCTGACTTCTTCTCCCTCCCTGTGACCTGCCCTCAGGCACAGAGGGTGGATGCTCTGTGCAAATTACCCTCTCAGAGTCAGACTTCCCTGGGTTGCTGGAAGCTTTTCCAGCAACACTCTGAAAAGCAACATGACTCCACCATGGTTATTGTACGTTTTTTCTGTGCAGAATATTAGAAGTTGCAAGGTGTTCTCAACTAACAGACGTGGGCTTCACCACCCTAGCTAGGGTAAGTGCTCCTTCCCACCCTTCCTGTCAAGTATCTTTGCTTTTTGTAATAGAGAAGAACTAACTGGGGCTTTTCTCCTGAATGTGGATTTTTTGGTCATGCTTTTGATACCAACATTTGAGTGGAAGCAAAGTCACAAGCAGGAGGTTGTGTCTCATCTTTGGCCTTGTCCTGAGCCACACACCCACCAGGATGTGTTTCCATCCTGCATGAAATGTTGAATACTTGATAGTTTCAAACTTTACTGTTTGTTTTTCTTTAGATAAATCTGTGTTCTATGCAACTGACCCTGAATTTAACCTCCTTTACTTTTTTGTGAATAAAAATCCTTGGTCCTTTTAAATGAGTGAAATTGCTAGATTTCCTGGACTATATTTGGTGCTGTTCATAAAGAAGCAGCAAACATTCCTCTTTACTTTTAAGGGGAAAAAAACCCCTTCCTTTCTAAAAAGGTTTTATTGTAGTTGTGTTTATATTTGCTGGCTGAACTTTGCACTCAGTTTGTGTGTTGGATCTTTTGTTTGTTCCTAGAACTGCCATGAGCTTGAAAAAATGGACCTGGAGGAGTGTGTCCAGGTAGGAGGTGCCACCTCTGGCTGTCACTCTTTGTTAACACAGTCACAGCAGTGGGGAAAGATCATGAAAGAGCAGATTGTCTCTAAATCAGAACTTGGTTTAGAATCCTGAGCAAGAAGATGGGATCTATTTAGATAAGGAAATACTGCTTGAGCCGTTCATGTTTCAGAGCAGTGGATGTTGCTGTGAATAATGAAAGACATTCAGTAGTAGGAGATGTGTCCTGAAGGTCCTGTAATAGGTGTGTGAATTGGGACCCTTGACACAAGATCCAAGTCCAAGAGTAAGATCTCTGCACTTAAGGGAAGGTTTGTGCTACATAAATTGCTAGAAGCAATGGGAGTTACTTCTGCTTTGAAAAAACACAGCCAGGCTGTTTGATTTTATAGAGGCCACAGCAGCAACTTGAACTAGAACTGGGGTCCCAGTGCTGCCACTCCAAGGCACTGGGATGCAGTGGGATGAGGCTGCGCCTGCTGAGTCCCTCATACCTGCTCACTGCTCTGCAGACACATTTACAGGGGAAAACAGTTTAATTTAGTCAAGATCCCCTGAAAAATCTCCAACCCTAAGGACAGAATTTTATTCCTGCCATGAGAACAGGGTGACCCTGGGATTCTGCACTTCCTGATGTTTAGAGGGCAGAAATTCAGGGGATCACAAGAGGAAATTACAGTAGTCCAGACAGGATGTGACTTAAAGTTAACCCAAAAAAGGAAGGAGAAAAATCTGGCTGTGTCTTTGGACTGGCTGCCTGGAGCAAAGCCAGCCCAGCATGTTCCCTTCTGAGTGCTTTGACTCAGAAGGCCATTGTGCTGAGTCTCTGTCTTCCTGAAGAATTAAGAGGAGCAACTGGGCAATCCACGAGGCTGTTGGAAGGGAGTTGAACACCTCCTGTGTTTTCAGAGACAAACACTGAGGAGACATCGTGGTGTTGAGGGGTCTGCCCACTGGCTTCTCTGAATTGTCAGCTTCTACCCTGAGAGCAACCTGAGGAGGTTCAGAAAAGCAGCTCTGCCCTAACAGCCCTTGAGGGACAGGAGGGGCTTTCTCTTAAGGGAGTGGAAGAATCTGTACATCTGAAATCTGGTCTTGCAGGAGATGAGTTCCTGAGGGGCTCAGGAGGATGGCTGGGGGGAACTGCCATGGCTTGGGCACAAGTCTGCAGCTTTTCTTTCTCAGGGGGGAAAACATCCTTGTGCAAAGCATCCAGCATGAAGGGGCTGTCTCTTTATTCCTTTCCAGATAACAGACAGTACACTAATCCAGCTTTCCATCCACTGTCCACGGCTCCAGGTTCTGGTGAGTATTAAAGTGGGACTTTCAGCATCTTCCTCCTATAAACAAAGGGATTTCAGGCCCTGCCTGTGGGGATTTGTCTCTTTGACTTCATAGATGTGTTGTGAAGGCTTGGAAGAATTCATGTAGAAACTTGACCCTGAAGAACTTATTGTCCTTCCCCTACTGCTGCCATTTCTGTGTGCCAGGCACCCACAGCTGCCCCAGAATGAGTTTTAGGACACTGTATTGTCCTGGTATCAGCCCCTGGCCACCCACCCACAGCAGGTGGGTCCTGGATCCACCTTGCAGGATCTGTCTGCAAACCAGGCTGTCAGTCTGTCTGTAGGAAAGGAGATTGCAGCCCTTCTACCTTAGGATGCAACTGAGCAGCTGGAACCTGGAAAGGTTGCTGGATCTGGAAAAAAATGTTCTCCTTAGTCTAAGTTTCTGGCAAATTCATCTGGGTTTCCCCTGTGTCCCCGTGTGCACTGTTCCAATGTCACTGTGAGAAGGCCTGTCCTGGGAGGGGTTGGGTGCAGTCCCTGCTGCACTAGTGCTCTCTCCTCACTCAATCCCTGCCTCCTCCTCAAGAACTCCTGAGATGCAGCCCCACAAAGATAAAGCACCGAGGAGGTGACGCTGTGTTTCTGCCGGTTCTTGGGGAGAGGGGCCTTCCCGGGGCGGCGGAGGCAACTCATCTCACACAGCTGATCTCTCCAATAGCGGAAGTGTTTGTTCCATTTCTGTGCCATCCTCCTGGCCCCGAGGGTCTCCTCCTCCAGCAGTTGCCTTTTCCATCATGCTGCAACCCTGAGTTTCCCCCTGGCAGGCAGGTCAGTCACTGGATCCCCCCAGAGCTCAGCACCTGGAGTCTGGAGAGCAGGGAGGCGCCATAAACCTGCCCAGGACACCACTGAGGCCAACCAGGCTGAACCTATGAGACATGGGCCAGCTCCTGTCTCATCCCACAGTGTCTCCTGGCAGGGTGTTGGCTTTGCTTGCCAGTGGCAGAGCTGCTGACAGGCTGTGTTTGGCTGCAGAGCTTGTCCCACTGCGAGCTGATCACGGATGACGGGATCCGCCACCTGGGGAACGGCGCCTGCGCCCACGACCGCCTGGAGGTGATTGAGCTGGACAACTGCCCCCTGATCACTGATGCCTCCCTGGAGCACCTGAAGAGCTGCCACAGCCTGGAGAGGATAGAACTGTACGACTGTCAGCAGATCACACGGGCAGGGATCAAGAGACTCAGGGTAAACAAAACAAAACAAAATTACAACCCTGCTAAGGCTGGGACAGGAACACTTGGTCTGGCGGGAGGAGGGAGGGCTGAGGTTTGAAGTTCCTCAGGACCTGGTGCTCATCCAGAGAAGTATTGTGAGAACCATCATCTATGAATTTCATAGCAGTCCTGCACTCAGAAGATGGGCTGGGAATGAGCAGTAGCTGGAAGGGATGTACATGTTCAGCACAGATTGTAGCATCCTTTATGGAAGGGATAGGAGGTGACTGCTGTGCTCACTGAGCAGGGGAGACCCAGTGTTCTCCTTTGCCAGCACTGGGACATGGCAGCACCTTCCAAATGTGTAGGAGGGCACCTTCTCTCCACTGCAGTACATGTTCAGCACAGATTGTAGCATCCTTTGTACTGACAATTCCCATGTACAGAACTCCAACTAATCCTGTCATGAAGCCAGAGTGTTGGAGGGCAGGCTGCATGTCCCTGTGAGTGACAGAGCCAGGGCTGCCCTGTCACTGGCTTCTGGCCACCAAGGCACTCTGTGCCCCAGCCATTGCCGTCCTGAGTCGATTTCTCCACCTGTAAATGAGGAGCAGTGATAACATTTTGTTTGCAGAGAGAACAGGGACCTGCTCAGCTCCATGTTCTGCCCCCAGAGAATGGATGGCAAGGGAGGAGCCTGGTTGTTTCTGATCACCCATCAGAACAACTTGCTCACCCACATTCTGAGGGAAACCATGCTGGGGAACTGAGTGTGACTCCAGGGTCTGTCAGGCTGTGGTCTGAAGCCAGGTGAGCTAGGCCTGTCTCAGCCTTGCTCTGCCACTGCCCGTGTCACTTGTCCCCCTGTGTTTGTCTCTGCAGACCCACCTACCCAACATTAAAGTCCACGCCTACTTCGCGCCGGTGACTCCTCCGCCCTCGGTGGGGGGCAGCAGGCAACGCTTCTGCAGATGCTGCATCATCCTATGACCCTGGACGTGGCCACCCCTGAGACTGAGTATTTAATGATCACCTGTAGAGTCACGGGGGACACCAGGATCTTGGAGGAGAGCGACACCCGTGTGGTTGGTGAGGGCCAGTGAGCAGGGCTGTGGTGCCAGGCCCCTGTAGCCACTCATACACGTCCATACACGCCCCACCTGTCCCAGCAAACTGGTGAACTCAGCAGAGCTGGAGCTGGAGCTGGGCTGGCTTTTCCTCTAGGTGGATTGGTGTAACTGGCTCAGATAAAACCGTTGCCGAAAGGAGGGGAGGTTTCTGTGAACCCAGGATCACCATTTGTTGAGGTTGGAATAGTAACAGAAATCCTTTGAGAGGGGGAGAGGAAAGGAACAAGCTTTAACCCTGCATCTGCTGCCCAGAAGACAAAAAAAAAGAAAAAGGCAGAAAAAGAAACCCCAAACCTGATAATCCCACCAAGTTTTGTGTCCGTTTCTCAGTGGGGGAATGAAACAGCAGCTGCTGTGGGACATGATGGACTCGTGCTTCTCTGCTTCCCTGCTGACCACCCTGAGCATGCTCACCTCAAAGGTTCATCTGTTTCTTCTGTGTCCTGTAGCACCCAGCTCAGAGGCCTCTGATAGTTGTGACACAGCCTGAAACCTGCAGCCTCAGGCTCAGGTTTTACCTTCCCTTCATCCTGCTGCTTTCTTTTTTTTTACTGATTTCTAATTCAGTAATTATTTTCTTTTGAGATGTACCAAACAAAAAAGATATAAATCGATTCATTTAAATTTAAAAGAAGTACTTTTTACCATTAGAAGCCTGAAATGACCTGTTGGGAAGATGTTTACATGGGAAATGAGCTGCCCTCTGGGCCAGGCTCCTGTGGGATTCCTGGCCTGGTTTTATCCACAATAAGGTGTTGGAATTTGTCTGGCACTGCAGGTTCATCCCAGTGACAAGAATATAACTTTTGAGATAGGGAAAAATTTATAGTCTGTTTCAGTGACTAAGTTGCCCCTTTCCCTCTGCCCCTTCATCCTGCCCCCCAGGTAAAGCAAATTAGAGTAATTTTTGCTTGTTGCCCCATCGTGAAATCACGACTTGCTAAAGGCAGCAGGAGAACCTGCCCCCGGGCACGGCCACCTTTGTGTGCTGGGCACTTTCCGACCTTTGCATCTTCCACAGGTAAGTGTCTGAGGAGCCATCCTGGGGCCCTGCTCTTCCCTGGAGTCAGGGCTGTGTTTGGAGCAGCTGGTTTGGGGGCATTTCAGGCAGGATTAGTGCAGGTGCTGCAGAGGAGCAGAGACACGCGCAGCTCTGGGAGCTGCTGGTTTCTTGATGCTGGCAGGTCCAGATGCCTGGTATGAAACATGGGAACAGATGGGCAGGTGGCAAGGGTGTAATGGGGCAGAACTTGGTCAAACTCTGATAGGTTTGTGGAAGAGGAGCTGAGGTGTAAGTGGCTGTGATCCTGCTGCTGCTCCCCGGGCTGGGCAGCAGCGCCCGTGGCCACTGATGGTTCCCAGTGACCGAGCCAGAGCAGCAGTTGTTCTGCTCTCCTCCCTGCCAGCAGCCAGGAGGTAACACTTCCCCTTTCTGCTCAAGAACCATAGGATGGGGAAAGAAGAGCAGAGTGCAGCACGAGGAATGGCTGGTTTAGGGTCCCAGGAGCCTTTTTTCCCCACTGTGGGTTTGCTTCCCACCCCCCTCCCCGCTGGCTGGGCTGTCCCGGCAGCCCCGAGGGTCTCTTGGTACCACCGAAGCTGCATCCCCTACATCTACTACTTAAATTCCCCCCACCCATCTGTATATGCTCCACAAAGTCTTGCAGATGCACAGTCTGCTGGGAGGAAATCTAGTATGCTGTGTTTAAAAGGATACTGTCAATTCCTTTCCTCTAGGTCGCTTTTAATCCGTTATATTTATTCAGATCCTCATTAGCTGTGGATTCTCTCTCTCCTCAACGAGCATGTTCCCAGACTTCATCTGCAGGGCTCCTTCCTCCCGTTTTCAGGGTGGCAGAGGATAATTACTGGCTCTTCCCAACGTGACAGACTGATGGAAGGGGCGGGTGTGCCTGGGGCAGCACCCAGAGCTCACAGCTCTGGGAAGAACACTTGGGTTAGTGGATCCTGTGGCAGGGGAGAGCTGTTAAAATACTGGCTTTGCAAGCCAGGGTGTAGTTGGCTGATTCCTTGTAACAGAGTTTTCAAGGGAAAACTCAAGAATACAGAACCCAAAGCATTTTATTTTTTCCAAACAGGGTGACAGCATTAAGGTAGCTCAAACTACTTGACAGTGTCCTTTTAAGTCAATTATCCGTCTTCAAATGGACTCTTCCTTATGTTTGTATTTATAAATACCAATAAACACCATTTTCCAAGCCGTGTCTCACTAGAGGACCTTTGTAGAGGGAAGAACCCCTCCTGCACCAGACAGCGGTTGTGTCTGGGAATTGTTTCCTCTCTCCAGGTGGTGCTGGGGAGCAGGACCCTGAGCCAGGGGTGACCTGGTGGCTGCAGAGCCCGGCCCCGATCTTTGTTCTGTCATTTTGGGGGTGAATGATGCAAACTGGTGGCTCTTCTGGAAGGCTGGGTGAGGAACAAGCCCTGCCTGAGCTCCCTCCCTAGTGCCAAATGGCTCTTGGCCAGGCTCTGCACCAGACCTGGTGGATCAGCTCCTGGATTTGGGACCCTGAGCCCTTCTCCAGGCCCGTTCCTTGGCCTCCCTCAGCACCCAGCCTGCCCCCCAGCACCCCGAGGTGCCTCCATAGAAGTTGTGATCCACAGTCGTGGAGGCTGGGCTGGAAGAGCCATGTTTTGGGGACCCTGGATCTGCCTTCTGGCACCTCCTGTGGTGCAGCCCTCCAAGAGCTGCCCCAGCCACCACTGAGTGAAGGGACCTGGCCAGGGAACCAGCCTCAGCCCTCCTGAACTGGTGCTGTTGAGATTCTCCTCCAGGAGATCTAATACAACCAAAAACCAGGCTTTGCTGATCCTTCCAGACATGCAGCACCACTTTTTACCCCAATTCTGTGGCCATTCCCCCACCAGGATGAGGATGTGGCAAGTGTAACGTGCTGGCCCAGGGGTTCTTCAAAACCTTCAACATTCCTGTTTTCTAAACATCATTGTAATTTCTTTTATTATTATTATTATTCTGTTACTGTGTGTTGTTCATGGCTGGCCCATGGTGTCATGGTTCTTGGTTGGGCTTTTTTTTAAATTCTGCTGGGTGGGGGGGTGGCTGGGAGATCAGTGTGACAAGGTTCTTTGCTGCAGTGTCCTGTGGTGGGAGTGTGCCCCAAAAAGCAGGTTTAGAACATCTTGTCCTCTTCTGAGGAGGGATTGCAGGGTTGGGGATGTTTTAGGTCGAGGTGTTGGGGTTTTTTTCTGTCTGCTTCATTTTCTGGCATCCAAGCCAGCTGGCTGAGGAGTCTGTTCTCAGTGAGAAGCCTGGCAGAGGCTCCCGGCTGTGCCCACGGGTGCTGAGGAGCTTGTGCTGCATCTCCAGGAGTTGTGTGGGGCCAAAAAAAAGGTGTGTGTGGGAGAAGCCACTTGCCTTTTCCCTTCCCTCCCAGCCCCTCGCTCGCCTGGGCCGTGCTGATGCCAGGGCTGTGGTACAGAGGGGACATCTCAGCACAGGGTCCCATCGCTGGTGACACCTCTGGTGGCTCTGGGTGGTTTGGCAGAGCTGGGCTGGGGGGTGGGCTCCACTCCTGTGGGCTTCTGGGGTTCTGTGAAGAGGTGAGGACACCCATCCCTGCTGGCACCCAGCAGTGACACCACAGGCCTGTGCCAGCCCTGAAGGCTGGGGGGTGGGCCCTGGAAATGCCCCCCTTGGCCAGGACCCCCAGCACCCTGCCTTTCCCAGGGCTCTCTGTGCCACCTCCTCCCAACACCAGCTCCCTCTGCTCTGCCCCAGCCCTTCTCCTGGGTTCTCTACATCGGGATTATTCCCCCTCTATGCAAACCCCCAGGCTCGACCTCCAGCCCCATTCTCATCTCACCCAGGACCCCCTGCTGGGGGGCAGGATGGGCCCCCTTGGAATTTTTAACACATTTTTAGACTCGGGTGGGCTCACCCGTTCAGGCTGATGTTCTGGACACACGAGCTGGAACCTTGTCATACACTCCCTTGATTATATATATATATATATATTATAGAGAGATCTGTACAATATTATTTTCATGAGACTGTATCTGTGCTTTCCTTGACACTGTGTGGACATAATGATGCCATTAACTACAAGTAAATCTCTATATATGTGTAGTGAGGTTGTCCCTGGTCTGTGTGCTCTGCCATTCCTGTGTTTTGGGGAGGGTCGTAGGTGGTCCCTGCACCCCCAGCCGCGGGGCCAGGGGCGGCTGGCGGCCCCGGCTGGCTGAGGAGTCTGTTCTCAGTGAGAAGCCTGGCAGAGGCTCCCGGCTGTGCCCACGGGTGCTGAGGAGCTTGTGCTGCATCTCCAGGAGTTGTGTGGGGCAAAAAAAAAGGTGTGTGTGGGAGAAGCCACTTGCCTTTTCCCTTCCCTCCCAGCCCCTCGCTCGCCTGGGCCGTGCTGATGCCAGGGCTGTGGTACAGAGGGGACATCTCAGCACAGGGTCCCATCGCTGGTGACACCTCTGGTGGCTCTGGGTGGTTTGGCAGAGCTGGGCTGGGGGGTGGGCTCCACTCCTGTGGGCTTCTGGGGTTCTGTGAAGAGGTGAGGACACCCATCCCTGCTGGCACCCAGCAGTGACACCACAGGCCTGTGCCAGCCCTGAAGGCTGGGGGGTGGGCCCTGGAAATGCCCCCCTTGGCCAGGACCCCCAGCACCCTGCCTTTCCCAGGGCTCTCTGTGCCACCTCCTCCCAACACCAGCTCCCTCTGCTCTGCCCCAGCCCTTCTCCTGGGTTCTCTACATCGGGATTATTCCCCCTCTATGCAAACCCCCAGGCTCGACCTCCAGCCCCATTCTCATCTCACCCAGGACCCCCTGCTGGGGGGCAGGATGGGCCCCCTTGGAATTTTTAACACATTTTTAG